CGACTCCAGTCCACCCAATTGGTATTGTAGAGCCGATGTGGCAGCTCGGCACTGCAGTGGGTGACCTCGCTACAGGGTATTCAAAGGGTACTTCAATCACTCAATCAGTCAATCACTCACCCCGCAAAATAGCACAGCATGAAGATCTGCATCAGCATGCAGGCCTGGTAGGTTACGAACTTGAACAGCGCCATCTTCTCATCGGACAACTAAATATGTGATGAGATAAATATGGTAAAAATGCATTTCCATTATCAGTTCTGTTGCACTCACCAAGGCTATGGCATAGAAGTTGGCTGTCAGCACCAGTACCGAGCAGAAGATCTGCATCGATATCGGTGTGCAGAGCCGACGCTCTATAGTCTCGGCCAAATCCACAATCGCCATGTGGAAGCGGATGCACTGCTTCAGTTGCACATCAATACTCATCTTAGTGTTTCCGTTTTCCTTACCTTGGCCGATCTTCTGCACGCGCAGTGCCAGAATTTCCAATTGGCAATTCACGAATATGAAAAGCGAGCAGCACAAGGAGTCGAAGCCAATGTTCGTGAGGCACGAGGTCGACAGCGCCAGGCACTGGTAGCAGTACAACAGCCAGTATCCGGCCGAGCCCGGATTGTCATCGAATGGGTTGTAGGTGCCCAGTGGCAGATGCGACCAGTCGAGCACGAACTGTGGGATCAGTATCATTGCGAGGGCCGCAAATGACAGCGCCGCGTAGTAGTCTCGCGTTTTGCGGGTCGTCTCGCAGGCTGCCGCAAATATGGCCCGCTCCTCAGGTCCCTCCGGACGGAAGTCCTCATCGTCCAGGCGGTCGAACAGCTGCTGGAGCGCCACATTATTCATCTTGACGGATATCAGCTTGGTGGTATGTCCGGCGCTCGTGGCCAGCACAAAGATGGCCCTGACTATCTCGAACATGTTGTTCAGGTTGGACACTACGTGCAGCACCAGCAGAAGATCGAACAGGAGCACCCAAAAGCCCATGACGTGCCAGTAGTTGATCTCATGGAGAATTCTTTTCCAGCGCTGTTCTTGTGGCATCAGCGAGTAAATGTTGAAAATAAACGTCTGCCCCTTGTAGAAGATTTCCGCCCTCTTAGACATGCTCCTAAACGATTCTTTGACAACTTATTGGCATTCAGGAACTCTGAGCGCTTTTATGGCCACTCAAACAGCGTTTAAAATGTCGTTAGGCCGACTAATTGTTTCTCAATACGATTCCCTAGAAATAATTAATCGGGAACTTTATAGCGATTTTATTTCTCCCGCATGGCGGCTGCAACATGGTGATTAATTGATAATAATGATAATATTAACGTAGCTTAAAAAGAAAAATTCTGGATAATAGTCAATCCGCCCTGCAGGATAGACCCAATCATTGTAACCCAATTACATACATAAAATTTAATAAAGAAGTGATTCCTTCGGTTTATTTCTATTTCCCACGTCCTGCCCATGTCTTGACTCTTAATAGAAATAGTATATGTTGATTCATTTGTAAACTGTACCACAATTTTCGTGCAGTGATTGCTGTTTTGAAACTTATACTATTTCCAGGCATTAAATACAAAATATTAAATTATTCAGGCGACGATTATTGCGTAGGATAATTTCGTAAGGCCCGCCCAAATACCCAGGCTAATGAAATATTTATGATTAGAGGGGAAATTGCTTCGGATCACAGCAGAAGGTGAATCCATCGTGGGGCGTATTTGGCAGGCTCAAAGGGCAGCTGACGGGGCTGCAAATATTCAGGACCTGCGGCCTCTCTCGCTGGAACGTACAGTTGTAGGTGAGGAAAACGTAGAGCCCTCTGCCACCGACTTCTCGCACAACCTTGTAGGTCCACTCGGGGACTGGTATCTTCGAGCCAGCAAGGTAGGCCTGCTGGAACACTCCCCTCGTGTCTGCCAGCATGAGTATTCCGATGCCACCAGTCTTGACCCGGAACGGTGTCGATTGGGGGATTATGCTGCGCACCCAACGCTCGATCTTCTCCCAGTTGCCATCGTTGATTGACTTGAACTGGGGCACAACGTTCAGGTATCGGAAAGTGCTGCTCATCTGATCCACAAAGAGGAAGTCCGCCGACGCTACCAGATGCCCACGATTGATCACTAGGGACCGAGCACTGGTCAAGTAGGTCTGCCCGTCCCCGTAGATGTAGTTAAAGGCGTGGTAGATGTTGGATTTTAAGTAGGCAGTCGCCTCTCTGGGGCTGAACAACTCATCGGCCACAAACTCTACCCACGGTCGTCTGGGAACTATCAAGGACTCAATGGGCAATTGGGGGAGAGTAGTAGGAGGCGGGGAACACTTACAGAAGGACTTGTAGTATACATCGCTCTGCGAGTACAAGACCCGTGCGTTGCTGGCATCAAAGCACGTCCGATAGAGCTCCAGCTGTTGTCCCTCGATCGTATATCCCACAGCATACATGGTCCCAGAACACTCGTTGTCCCTGATACGCGTGACTGTTGGCCTCATCGGTTCGTTGCATGTCATGGGCATAGCGACACTGAACTGTCCATTGTCCTGGCACTGAGTCTCCACCCAGTCCGTGACAGTGCAGAACATGCAAAGAGTCACTCCGGCAGGAACGATTTCCGTTCGCTGCAATCGAAAGGCTCCACTGTCATCGCGATAGGTGAATATCCGATTCGTTCCCTCCACCATATACTGCGCAATCTGACAATCACTTCGAACCCCCCGACCTGCGCTGGAAAAAGCACAACTTTGGAGCACATTATCATGAATACAGTAGTAGACTAGTAGAAACTTGCCCATGGCGCAGAGCAGAAGGAGCAGGAGTATCTGGGAGCCATCCATCTGATGGGACGCTGATTCTGATGACTATTAAATTTTGAAAATTATACTCTAAATTGATATGTATATGAACTACTGCCATCGCACTACATTTTTGGGGGATCCCCGAAAAATATATAAGTTGGAAATCGATAGACGGATCCGATACTAGTTCCGACCCATTGACTCATTGATGAGAACCAAACAAGTGATAGTTATGCAACGAATCGATAATAGAATCTAAATCTATTGTGTGTATAGAAATTTGCAACGAATTTAGAATCAATCCAAGCTCACTTAGATCCCCATATCCCAGGCACTTACTTTCCCATCCATTCATTATTAGAGATCGTGTGTTTTTTGACAGTCCACTTGTGGATAACACTTTATTGCTTCTATCACATACAAAAGTTGTTGTTTGGTTGCTAGTTGAACTCTGCTTCGAAACAATTGCTCAATTCTTGTATTCGTGGTACTGTACTTGATGATGATATTATATATGTAATTATTAAATTTAGGTTGCTTTTTTTGTGTTTTTTTCTTTCTACTTCAAATGGTGCACATACATAGATATATGCGTGTAGGTGGCAGGCGGGCATGTGCCGTGGCAATGAACTAAAGTAGAACAAATATAGCGAATCGAAATGCCATCGCTTGGGGGTGTACTGTACTCGTAAATGTGCATAATCGTAGACAAGGAACACCCCCCTACCCCCAGCCAACCAGTATAAGTAGCCAATAAATGTAGGAGAATTCAGTTTATAGATATGTCTTTGGTTACTTCAACTGAAAGATGGAATGCACTTAACTCGTTTCGATGGACATATTTACTCTATAATTTGTTGGTTTTTTGTTATCGTCATGCATGCAATGCTCTGCCATCAATTTCAATTCAAGAAGTGCCCAATCAACTAGCCCTGAATCAAACAATAAACAATAAATAGTAGTTCCAGCCAGACTGTATGCATTATTGACATTGATTTGCCGATTCCATTCCAGAAGCGTGTTCATGAGTAAATATGTTAGTTATGAATTAATTGTCTTTACAAATAACCTAATTATCTGAAAACTTATTCGAGCTATCTTTAGTTTTCGGTCATCTGTTGGCCCCAACTGCCATACTAATTCTTGGACTGGGATTTAATCTATGTGACCAACAGAATTATCTTCTCAGACCCCACAAATATCAATCAATAGCTTTCTGCAACATATGTATTCCTTTAGGAGTATGAAAGGAGATAAGATTAGGACTAGCTTCAGTGGATTTGTGCGCAAGGAAACTCAAGTTACAGCTAGACCAAGTGCAAAGTCATGACCTCATCAACCAGAATCAAATCAAGTCAAACGTAACTCCTAAGTTGACCAACAAACAATTGATAGAAAATAAAACACAGAATGATAAAAAAAGAAAATGAAAACTGCATCCACTCAAAAAAGAAGAGGGAAGAAGTAGTTCCACTGCTATAGAAGGTAGAGCCGATTTTTCCCCACTTGTAACAACAATTATGATTTATGTATATTTCGTAGCCAAGGCCCCACCCCATAGAGCGTGTCGGTACCGTGTCTTTTGAACCCAAGTTTTACTGACACATACTATACTCGTACTCGTAGTCCACCTTCAGTTATAGTTACAATTACAGCCTCCTCCGAGATATATTGTGTACATACCCGCATACCTAGTGTGCGGAATGAAAGTTTAACCTTTGATTTGAAATTTTGCAGAGGTAGTACAGAATGGCAAATCCATGAATCCAAGTTTCAGCGAAGATTCTGTGGCTGAGACCACTTGCTTAAAAAATATTAAAAATTCAGACGGTAAGTCTACAAGGTCCTCTCCCCCAGGTCCTACAATACGAATGTCGAGAGAAAAAAACAAAAAAAAAAAACTCAAAACTTAAACAAACAAACTTTTTTTGTATCACATTTTATTATATTGAGTGTTGTGGTTGTGTCAATGTTGTGACTTGCATCCCAGAGATAAGACTGATTGAAATTTTAATTGATGTTGTTTGTTGGTTACATAACATTCCCGACACCCGACCCACGACACACGACACCCGACACCCTACACCCTACACCCCCATCACCAGACGCCCGACTCCACGAATCCACGACTCCCCGACTAACTGTGGCTCCACTAACCCTGGGACAGAGGGATCGCCATCGACAGCAACTAATTCCGCTCTCTAACTCACTTAGCCCAGCCCAGTGGCCAGCTGGCCAACTGCAAGCTCAGCTCCAGTGCTGGCGCTCTGGCCCAGTTCTCCCACCAGGCGTCATCGGTCGAGGAGGGTCCGGGCCAGGCCAAAAGCGAGTCTGCCTCTAGAAATCTGACCATTCCCGTGGTACTGTTTGGCTTTCTGCATGGCAGCTTATTCGGCTCATCGCTTTCGCTGCGCAATACCCGGGTGGCCCCCACAAACCCTGCGGACCTGGAGGCCGGCCAAGAGGACCCCAATACGGATAACTTTGAGAGGAACAGCACGATGACGCTGCCAGTGCCCACCCAGCGCCGCAGTGCCAGTCCGAGTCCGAGCTCGGGAAGTGGTCGGACGGGTCGATTCTTTGCAGCCGCATCGCAGTTCCTGGAGACAGGATTCTCGCACAGATCGGCTGCTGCTGATGGTGGGCCGAACGGGTCCTTCGGTGTGGCAAGTGCGTGCGAAGCATCTCTCTCCCGCTCTTTGAGGATCTCCTACCCTCTGCTATGCTGTGATGCTAGGGATGCATGCCGTCCACCTGTGTAGAGTGCCCCGCTTTGATTTGTAGCCTTAGTTAGTCCCAGTCCAGCCGCACTCCATGCTCCCCCCACACACATCCCATCTGCCACTAGACATAGGACACAGGACACAAAACACCACAACGCTTGCTTCAGAACTGGGCTAGAGAATATTCCAGCCATCTACAGGCATCTCCGACTAACTCCTACTAACTAAGCTCTCGCTCTCTCTCTCTATCTATCTCTCTATCTCTTGTTGACATTAATCATATAATACTATATATATAATTATCAATATCGTATCCGTATTTACTAATTGCTCCATATATGTGTGTAACGGTACTTTTTGTATGTGTTGTTGTATATTTGGGTTGACGTTGACTTGCTTAAATGTATCCAAAACCAAAAAAAAAAACACCAATAACCAAACCAAACCAAAACCAACCAAGCGAAGCTAGCAACCAAAACCTAACGCACAAGTCAATCTCTCTGATTCACAAATTGCCCGCAGATGAGGAAGATGAGCCGCGCTGCACGCAGCTAACCAATAGACACAAGACGGCCATTCGGTTCATTCGCAAGGTGAGTACGTGGTTGGACACGGACACGGACACGGGGCACCACTCACCACTGGAAGGGATCGAGTCGGATATGCAACTGAGAGAGATTTTTATTGCAGCTCAAGTACTTTGTGGCACGGCGCAAGTTCAAGGAGGCCTTGAAGCCGTACGATGTCAAGGATGTCATGGAGCAGTACGCAGCTGGTGAGCACCAAAGCCCTCCCCTGTTCTGCTCCCCTAAATAGAAACCTTCAGGCTATGAGCTATAACTCTAAGACTAGCAATTGTACTAGCTTCAAAACTTTATACCTCTCTTTGCTCCTTCTAGGCCACGTGGACCTGTTGGGTCGCGTTAAGATGCTTCATTTGCGGTGAGTCTGCCAAATAAACGTGGAATGAACATCCGTTTCCCTACCATTTACTCATTCACGTTCATTCCACAGTTTGGATCAAATCCTGGGCAAACAAGGATCCAAGGCCAAGGACGTCTATGCATCTAAAATAAGTTTAGCCTCCCGTGTGGTTAAAGTCGAGCGACAGGTGAGGTGGCCCCACAATGATTGACCAGCCCAACAGAGCTAGACTGTAATTATTGTTGATTGGATAGGTCGCTGACATAGAAGAGAAGCTGGACGTGCTGATCAAAGCCTACATGGAGGATCGTGATAGATTCTTGGCCCTACCCCTCCCAGCAAAGCCCAGCAAAATACATTCCATTAGCCCTAGCCACAATCCCCTGCACCACACTCACAACCTGTCGATGATCGATGTTTGGAAGCGCACCGCGGCACTGAGTGTGCATCCAGAGCACACACCGACCGCCACTTCGGCCACATCCACGGATGGCACAGAGCTGAGGGCGCTCACCTCCACGCAGACAATCACAACGACAACCGATGTGATCGCCACGCAAACCCCGATGCCGCCTCACACGCAGCATACATCGACCAATACCAAGGTAGAACTGAGACTGAGTCCCTCCAAACGATCTCATAATTGTATATGTATATCCTTTGTAGTCTTCCGTGCTTAACTCATATCAGCTGGGGTCTGAGAAGCAGCAGCACAATGATGTTTTTATGACTGAATTAGATAATAGGACCAAGAAACGTGTTACGTTAAGGTTGGTTCCGCCATTCCCATAAGCAAATCCTTATACGAATAAGAACTATCACATGTATTGCAGCCTGCATAGATCCACATCGGAGCCATATAGCAAGCAGGAACAGCGCATTAGTATACCAGACGAGGGAGCACAATCCCTGGAGTGCGCTGCAAAGGCAACGCCGCCAGATAGTTCAAGTAATTAAATCAAATTATCAGTCGAAATATATATATGTAGACTTTGTGCCTGCCTTTGAAAATGTTCCCAAAATTCGTACTGCTTTAAATGCACTGCGGAACCGAATTAGAAGTTGAGGTTCTGAATATTTAAGTACGTATATCTCCCCACATCATACAGTTATCCTTATCGACGAGTATGAGGACTTCGAAGAGGAAGATCTGAACTGCGAGGGCGAAATGGAACATTTCCCATCGTGGGAGATCGACAGCGACATTGGGGTCGACGTGGATGTGGATGCTGACGGTGACGGTGACTGTGATGAGTCCACTGAGGACACGGCCCTGCTGCACTGTGCCACGCGCACCGCCATTGTTATTACACCAATTAGCCCAGTAAGTCACATTCAATTACTGTCGTCCATTTGTGAATGAAACTCTTCGATTTGATATGTATAGGTAAGCTCCGCACACAATCTTCAACAGTTAAATGACCAAACTACAACGCTTAATAAATCAAATTTGCTTCCGCCAGACTCTGGCTAGTTAATTGCATTGGAATTAGCCTAAATGTACGTGTAGCTATTACATTATCATTAGAATTGTATTATGTACTATGGAATACATATTTATGTCATTTTCTGACATCTCTGTGTTCAAATTATGGATAGCAAATGAACGGAAATCAAATTAAATATATCTGCTTTAGCAAAGAAATGGCTAATCATCCGAACGGAGTTTTCTTCCATGTTTTCTGTTTGAGCCACGGTTCGGCTTTGGTTCCCCCTCTGCCTCATCCTCGGCAAATTCCAGCGCACATTCTTCATCCTCCTGCTCCATATCCTCCTCTTCCTCATGCTCTACTTCCTCATGCTCTACTTCCTCCTCCTCCTCCTCTGTAACGTTATAATCAACGTCTTTCATCGTGTCCATGTCAACAGCAGAATCGTCTATGAACTCAACTTTTTTATCTTTCAAAATACCAAAGCAACGTTTCTTCGCTGCCGGCGGCCTGGCGATGGCATACGCCTCCTCCTCGAGCACATCGTCGGCTACTAAAGTGGAGTTGTGCACCTTGCGCAAATGCACGTTCAGCTGGGAACTGGTGGTAAACGAACGGCCGCAGCCGTCGTCAATGTAGTTACGGCACACATGCTTGGAGGCGTGCACACGTTGTATGTGGTTGGTCAGTCCTTGGCGTCGACCAAAGTGCTTGTCGCACATCTTGCAGTCGAAGGCGAATCGCTTAAAGTGCTGGCCCAGGGTATGAACAGACAGTGACTTTTTGTTCCTGGTGGTGAAGCTGCACTGCTCGCAACTGTAGGACTGGGAATGGAGCTACAGGGGGATACCATACATCGGTTAGAGATCGAATTAGTAATGCTACAGTACATACCCTCTTGTGAGCCTCCATCTCGCTCTTGTGGTAGAAGCCTTTCTCGCACACACTGCAGGTGTAGCGCTTTTTGTTTGAGTGCACCACATTCACGTGGGTGTCATAGTTACGCCTGTTCTTGACAATCTTGAAGCACTGCGGACACTCGATGGGCTCGTGCCAGTAAGCAAAGTGTTTATCCAGGGCATCCTTGCTCTTGTACGAGGCGTTGCAAAGTGAACAGACCACATTGTCTGAGAAGAAGCGTCGTTAAGATAGTCGGGAATTAGATTAGGCGTATTGTGCACTCACCATTATTGTGGCTCCGGGCGACATGGACGGATAAGGACATTTTCGATCGGCATAGCTTAAGACAGAATTGGCATTGCCATTCCTGCAGCGGCTTGGCCGATTTCTCCTGCCGCTCTTTAGACTCATCGTGAGTGCGTCGCTTGTGCGTGTAGAGTGAGTTCCAGTTCGCATATGCCGCCGAGCAGTCCTGAAAGGAAGATTCATTCAAGCCACAGTTTTTACGGTTGTCTGGCGTGCCATGTCACCTTCTGGTCGCACATGAAGAATGTGCAAATGTCCAGCTTCCGATGAGCAACATCTACACGCAGTTGTTGATAGTTGCGCCAATGGTGACGATACAATTTCATGTCGGTAAAATCCTTTCCGCAAGGCTGACACGAAAAAACGCCATTGTCGTGCACACCAGTCTCGCGATGGGACTGTAAGTCTGACTTCTGCTTAAAGTACGTGGTGCAGTATTCACAGACATAGGCATCGCGTAGCAGCTCCACGTACCTCTCCGCCCCAAAGCAGGCAGAGCCCTCGCTCCCGAAGTGGGCGTCCATTTTCTCCTGATTCTCGCTCAGTTGGCCACAATTCCCGCAGACATGAACGGAACGTTCGATAATCAAATGCGACTTCATGTGGACGTTGTACGTGGCCTCAGAGGCAAACTCGCGGGAGCAGAGCTCACAGCTGATGACGTTGCCATGCATTGATCTCTGAAAAGTTTACCCTGATAAGTTCAGCTATATTACCAGAATATCTCGACGCAAATTCTTACTGTGTGGCTGTTCAGTTTACCACGTGTCTCGAAGGTGGCCAGGCATTCGCCGCAGGTGTAGGTGGCGTTGCCCACAGTCGCGTGCGACGTGTTGTGCTCTATGAAGACAGCGGGATCCCGGAACGTGCGATCGCAACTGAAAGCGGAGGAGAAGTCAGTATGTGGAAATGGTGCAGTAGAGCCTGAGAGAACGTTACTAACAGATCACAGAAGAGAGTGCCCTCTGGCTCGTGGGAATAATGCAAATGCTGGAAGAGCTCGTCGATGTTGGTGTTCTCATAGCCACAGACAAAGCAAGCGCGCGGTCGGTGCTTCTCCAAATGGAATTGATTGTGAAAATTGAAGCTGCATGGAAAAGGAAGAGGACATATCATGAAAAGAGCAACTTCATTAGAAATCAGAGCATACCGCTTCCAGGAGGGAAACTCCAGGGCGCACATTTCGCAAAACAAGCGAACGCCCCGTTTTTTCTTGATGATATGCGCACACGAATGTTTATTGTATTGTAAAATATTTGAGAAAGTCATCTTGCATTCCGGACAGCTGCCGTAAATGGCAATACTAAAAGAGGGAGGGTTCCATAAGATATCACGGCGACCTCATAAAACAGACTTTCTTACTCAGCCACAGGCGCATGTAGAACAACCAAATGCATGGCCAGAAGTTTGCGTCCTTTTAGCTCCAAGTTGCAGCCCTCGATTGGGCACCGAAAGACATCCGACCGGGACTTGTGCACCCTCAGCATGTGCTCCAGCAGGTTCTCGTAGCTAGTGGACTTTAATGTGCAATGTTGGCAGACAGTATTCCAGTTGAACTTTAGCTTCTCAAAGCTGGTCCTCACCACCGTGGCTAAGTACTCGTATAAGTCGTCAATGTCATCCTCTGTAATGACATAAAACACCACAGTGAATGGCGGTTAACCCATTCGCAGATTTCAATTCCACGTACTTTCTTTGATCTCGACAAAGTTAAAGAGGACTATATTGCTGGCCTCGCTCTCCTCGTTGTCTGCCTCGCTCTGGCTCTCCGTTTTCTGCCTTTTTAGTCTGGATGGACGGATGTCTGGCTTGGTATTTACCTCCTCTTCAATTGAAATATCTAAAAACCGAAGTTCTTTTAGGACAAAATTCATAAGCCAATAGTTTCTACGCACCTTCATGCTCGTATATGATATTCATTCCATCTAGATCTTCTTCTTCAGTCACCTCAGCTTCAGCCTCAGCCTCCGCTTCCTTCTCTGGCACTGCAATTGTTGTTTGGGAAGAGTCGGGAAGAACTGTTTCTGACTCATCTACCACGCCCGGCTCGTCCTCGTTTAGAATATTGAGAATGAGGGCACTAATCTGCTCCTGGTCTGCCTCCTTCGGAGCATGCTTAGTCTTGGATGGTGCCTTGACTTTATCAACTTCGTCTGCTACAGAGGCCGCAGATGGCAGTGGCACGGATACATTTTTAATTATACGTCGGCTGGGTTTCGGGTCCGGCTGTATCACCGGCACAGGCTTTTCCACTTTAGTTTGGGGCTCCGGCAGTACGGCCTTCTTAGCCGTAGGCTTGACAGGCTGTGCAGTATTTGGAGGCGTGTGGGATCCACTCGTTGCAGCGTTTGGAGCCGTCTTGGAAGCAATCCTTGCAGCATTTGGAGGCGTCTTGGGTGCGCTCTTTGGGGCAGGAGCATCCTGGACAGCGCTCTTTCGTCTGGCAATCGCAGCATCCTGTTCTTTCTGTAGCTCGTCAATGTCAAACAATCGGATCAGAACATTCACGCACTCATCGCAAAGAAGCTGTTGCTGCTTTGCGTTGGGTGTCACATCTAAGCTGAAGTGCTTCGCCAGCAGCTCTTTGAGTCCCAGTTCCAGGCCAAATTCATCAAATATCTCCTGGTACTTCAATTTGGCACCGAATGCGCTGCAATGCAGGCAGCTAGGACCGCTGCGGCTTGTTTTTGGGTTTTCCGACATCTTAACTTTGTCCGTCAGCAATAACGCCAGCTGACTGACCGATACGATACGATTGATGCGATAATCACAGACGCACAACTTGTTAACATGGACAGTCCTTACATTTTTAAACACCCACTTTGCCCGAGAATACAATTTTCTGCGCGTAATTTACTGCATTTCTTTATTTAATTTAATTGCGTGCTTTGCTAAATCGATAAGCGATAAAAATACTTTTCTGGTTTTTTTTGCCAGCTACTAGTGTGACCATATTGCTGCAGGGAGGATTGAAATCTTGATGGTTGCCCGGTAATATTTGAAATTATTTTTAGGTAATCCATTGATAACAATCAGATTCTAACTGTTAACGCGCTTCAGCAGGGCGAAGTAGCTGTAGGAACAGTTCACAATCTGGAAATAAAGAAAATCCATTAGTTATGTTCAGAATGGTGGGTTGATGTTTCCCTACAGATCCAAAAGCCTCCAGACTAAAAGTGAAAGTGGGATTAATAGTGCGCAAGCTAAGAGGCGAGTCTAAGCGCTGCATCATAAGCACAATCATTTGGCGATTTTCCTTGTTCCAGCTGGTCCACTGAGACTTATAGATGCTGTGGCACAGGCGCGAGCTGTGGATTGTCACCTCGTTGGAGGCGTAGCAGATGATGAAGATCTGCCAGAGCATAACCAGCTGGTAGATGCAGGTCTTGGTCATATAGATTGCTTCTCCATTGGCAATCGAAATGGTCGACATGTCGAACAGATTGGAAACCAACACCAGAATCGAGCACATTAGCTGCACACTGCCTGGCACTTTGATAAACACCTCCACCAGATCCTTGAGCTGCACAATCCTGTTGTAGTGGGCACTGCACTCGCGCAGCTCCCTGGCAATGCGCTGGTTATCCTGCGGTGTCTCAGCCGGCCCCAACTGCTGCAGGCGCAGGGCGAACATCTGCACCTGTACCCGTAGATAGGTGAGCACACTGTAGGCCACCGATTCGAAGGCTATGTTCAGGCAGCACGTGGACATCAGAGAGACAGCGTGGGTCAGGAATAGGACCCAGTAGCACATTCGTCCCTCAATGCTGCAGAGCTCGTACATGGTCAGCGGCAGCTCCGAGTTACCCGCAAAGAACGGCACAAGGAGAATAAGGGTGGCTGTCACTAAGCACGAAATGCCGTACAGGTTCCGCAAGTTCACCACCGACACCCTTCCGGCTTCCATTAGTTTCTCCTCTTGCTCACTTTTGGTCGAAAAACTCGAGGATTTCATCATTGTGACGAGGCCCGCCAGCTTCCGACTCTTCAGCTTCATGTGCATCAGTTTGGTCATGCAGGATATCTCGGTGGCGAACATGTAGAACACCTTGAGTATCTCCCGCAGATGGGCAATGCTGCCGGCCAGCTCCATGGCGAACAGCAGCAGCATTCCACTGAGAATAGCAAAGATCGAACAGAATCGGAGCTGGTGCCAGCGGCGCTGCTGCCCTGTGGCCCCATCTGGAAGTTTCCAGATGCCCAAAATCTGAAAATACCACACCTGGTATTTGTAGAAGTGCCCTGTGACTTTCAGATGCTGCTGATTCATGCTGACTGGCGATTCCCGACTGACTTAACCTACGTGTCCTGCGTTGCGGGCCTTTTATAGCCCCAAGTTGTTGCAACGACGCAAATGAGGATAATTATGGAAATCCGCTAATCGTACAGTGAAAAAAAAGGGAAGAACGTACCGAGCTGAAGAGCGCCAGGTCGAAGGCACGACTGGGGTTTATGGTCCTTATCCTCAGCTCGTAGTGGAGACGTTGCATGAAGAGCAATGCATTCCGGCGATCGGAGCGACTCCAGTCCACCCAATTGGTATTGTAGAGCCGATGGGGCAGCTCGGCACTGCAGTGGGTGACCTCGCTACAGGGTACTCAAAGGGTACTTCAATCACTCAATCAGTCAATCACTCACCCCGCAAAATAGCACAGCATGAAGATCTGCATCAGCATGCAGGCCTGGTAGGTTACGAACTTGAACAGCGCCATCTTCTCATCGGACAACTAAATATGTGATGAGATAAATATGGTAAAAATGCATTTCCATTATCAGTTCTGTTGCACTCACCAAGGCTATGGCATAGAAGTTGGCTGTCAGCACCAGTACCGAGCAGAAGATCTGCATCGATATCGGTGTGCAGAGCCGACGCTCTATAGTCTCGGCCAAATCCACAATCGCCATGTGGAAGCGGATGCACTGCTTCAGTTGCACATCAATACTCATCTTAGTGTTTCCGTTTTCCTTACCTTGGCCGATCTTCTGCACGCGCAGTGCCAGAATTTCCAATTGGCAATTCACGAATATGAAAAGCGAGCAGCACAAGGAGTCGAAGCCAATGTTCGTGAGGCACGAGGTCGACAGCGCCAGGCACTGGTAGCAGTACAACAGCCAGTATCCGGCCGAGCCCGGATTGTCATCGAATGGGTTGTAGGTGCCCAGTGGCAGATGCGACCAGTCGAGCACGAACTGTGGGATCAGTATCATTGCGAGGGCCGCAAATGACAGCGCCGCGTAGTAGTCTCGCGTTTTGCGGGTCGTCTCGCAGGCTGCCGCAAATATGGCCCGCTCCTCAGGTCCCTCCGGACGGAAGTCCTCATCGTCCAGGCGGTCGAACAGCTGCTGGAGCGCCACATTATTCATCTTGACGGATATCAGCTTGGTGGTATGTCCGGCGCTCGTGGCCAGCACAAAGATGGCCCTGACTATCTCGAACATGTTGTTCAGGTTGGACACTACGTGCAGCACCAGCAGAAGATCGAACAGGAGCACCCAAAAGCCCATGACGTGCCAGTAGTTGATCTCATGGAGAATTCTTTTCCAGCGCTGTTCTTGTGGCATCAGCGAGTAAATGTTGAAAATAAACGTCTGCCCCTTGTAGAAGATTTCCGCCCTCTTAGACATGCTCCTAAACGATTCTTTGACAACTTATTGGCATTCAGGAACTCTGAGCGCTTTTATGGCCACTCAAACAGCGTTTAAAATGTCGTTAGGCCGACTAATTGTTTCTCAATACGATTCCCTAGAAATAATTAATCGGGAACTTTATAGCGATTTTATTTCTCCCGCATGGCGGCTGCAACATGGTGATTAATTGATAATAATGATAATATTAACGTAGCTTAAAAAGAAAAATTCTGGATAATAGTCAATCCGCCCTGCAGGATAGACCCAATCATTGTAACCCAATTACATACATAAAATTTAATAAAGAAGTGATTCCTTCGGTTTATTTCTATTTCCCACGTCCTGCCCATGTCTTGACTCTTAATAGAAATAGTATATGTTGATTCATTTGTAAACTGTACCACAATTTTCGTGCAGTGATTGCTGTTTTGAAACTTATACTATTTCCAGGCATTAAATACAAAATATTAAATTATTCAGGCGACGATTATTGCGTAGGATAATTTCGTAAGGCCCGCCCAAATACCCAGGCTAATGAAATATTTATGATTAGAGGGGAAATTGCTTCGGATCACAGCAGAAGGTGAATCCATCGTGGGGCGTATTTGGCAGGCTCAAAGGGCAGCTGACGGGGCTGCAAATATTCAGGACCTGCGGCCTCTCTCGCTGGAACGTACAGTTGTAGGTGAGGAAAACGTAGAGCCCTCTGCCACCGACTTCTCGCACAACCTTGTAGGTCCACTCGGGGACTGGTATCTTCGAGCCAGCAAGGTAGGCCTGCTGGAACACTCCCCTCGTGTCTGCCAGCATGAGTATTCCGATGCCACCAGTCTTGACCCGGAACGGTGTCGATTGGGGGATTATGCTGCGCACCCAACGCTCGATCTTCTCCCAGTTGCCATCGTTGATTGACTTGAACTGGGGCACAACGTTCAGGTATCGGAAAGTGCTGCTCATCTGATCCACAAAGAGGAAGTCCGCCGACGCTACCAGATGCCCACGATTGATCACTAGGGACCGAGCACTGGTCAAGTAGGTCTGCCCGTCCCCGTAGATGTAGTTAAAGGCGTGGTAGATGTTGGATTTTAAGTAGGCAGTCGCCTCTCTGGGGCTGAACAACTCATCGGCCACAAACTCTACCCACGGTCGTCTGGGAACTATCAAGGACTCAATGGGCAATTGGGGGAGAGTAGTAGGAGGCGGGGAACACTTACAGAAGGACTTGTAGTATACATCGCTCTGCGAGTACAAGACCCGTGCGTTGCTGGCATCAAAGCACGTCCGATAGAGCTCCAGCTGTTGTCCCTCGATCGTATATCCCACAGCATACATGGTCCCAGAACACTCGTTGTCCCTGATACGCGTGACTGTTGGCCTCATCGGTTCGTTGCATGTCATGGGCATAGCGACACTGAACTGTCCATTGTCCTGGCACTGAGTCTCCACCCAGTCCGTGACAGTGCAGAACATGCAAAGAGTCACTCCGGCAGGAACGATTTCCGTTCGCTGCAATCGAAAGGCTCCACTGTCATCGCGATAGGTGAATATCCGATTCGTTCCCTCCACCATATACTGCGCAATCTGACAATCACTTCGAACCCCCCGACCTGCGCTGGAAAAAGCACAACTTTGGAGCACATTATCATGAATACAGTAGTAGACTAGTAGAAACTTGCCCATGGCGCAGAGCAGAAGGAGCAGGAGTATCTGGGAGCCATCCATCTGATGGGACGCTGATTCTGATGACTATTAAATTTTGAAAATTATACTCTAAACTGATATATGAACTACTGCCATCGCACTACATTTTTGGGGGATCCCCGAAAAATATATAAGTTGGAAATCGATAGACGGATCCGATACTAGTTCCGACCCATTGACTCATTGATGAGAACCAAACAGGTGATAGTTATGCAACGAATCGATAAAAGAATCTAAATCGATTGTGTGTATAGAAATTTGCAACGAATTTAGAATCAATCCAAGCTCACTTAGATCCCCATATCCCAGGCACTTACTTTCCCATCCATTCATTATTAGAGATCGTGTGTTTTTTGACAGTCCACTTGTGGATAACACTTTATTGCTTCTATCACATACAAAAGTTGTTGTTTGGTTGCTAGTTGAACTCTGCTTCGAAACAATTGCTCAATTCTTGTATTCGTGGTACTGTACTTGATGATGATATTATATATGTAATTACTAAATTTAGGTTGCTTTTTTTGTGTTTTTTTCTTTCTACTTCAAATGGTGCACATACATAGATATATGCGTGTAGGTGGCAGGCGGGCATGTGCCGTGGCAATGAACTAAAGTAGAACAAATATAGCGAATCGAAATGCCATCGCTTGGGGGGTGTACTGTACTCGTAAATGTGCATAATCGTAGGTGGTAAAAAGATAAAGTAAGACATGCATAAAGTAAACAAACTTAAAAAGAGTGAAAACGGTAGCTCACATATTTTGCACTAATTCTTTAACAAAAAGGTTAGGCTTGGGTATTGGGGTTGGGCGGGGGCTGGGTTTGCTTGCTTGATACTTGTTCAAAATTGCTGCGCGAAATCTCATAGACATTGAATCATATATAGAAAACGATATCGAACTGTGAGTGTAAATGCTATAAGCTATACTTGGTTTCTAGGGTGGTAACAGCGGGTTCAATTGTTGTCCTGCTTGTTGATCAGCTTCAAGATGACCTTGCCGCTCTGCACATCCAGGGCATAGAGGCTGCCGTCCTTGATCTCGTTGTTCAGCACCTCGTCGCTGACGCTGACCAGGATCCCAGACGGTCCCGAGATGTACACGCAGCTCTTGTTGGCATCGTTGTAGATGTTCGAGCCGCTGCCTGAATACTTCGAGTGCATGCTCCAGCTGTTGTACATTGCAGCAGCCGCAGCGGCGGCCGCGGCTGCAGCAGCTCCTCCATTCTCCTGGGCACCCGCCTTGGCCATGAATTCGTAGAAGCCGGGCATCTTGAACAGCTTCTGCTGCAGCTCCTTGGCCGTGTTCGACAGCAAGTAGATGGCATTGTAGCTGCAACCGTCAAGGCTGGCGTACAGCGTAAGTCTGGGCGTGATGGTCCTGGAATAGATGAAGGTGGTCTTAGAACAGATTTTCAGACTTCGACTTTCGTTTGGGAATCACTTACTTGGCTCGCAATATGTTGAACATGCGTATGCCGTCGGCCAGGCCACAGATTTGTATCAGATCCTCCTTGGACATGCTAAAAAAATAGGCCCAAAAGCGAGAGACATGAGGAACTAGAGCATCCAAATAAGATAAAGCCGACAGTGCGTTTCGAAACCGCAAGACTGTCGGTAATTTTGGTAATTTATAACCTCGTTCGAAACTGAAATTTCTAGTCGAATATTTCTTATATTGAATTGTGCACCATATTTTTAAATCTTTGAACCACATCGATTATTAATAACTTATCTATGAGATTATGTCGTCGGGCTTTCCCAAGGCAAGGGTCGTACAGTTTCGAAACGCATTGTAGAGAAGTACAAACCGCATTATATCAGCTCCTGAGAAGTGGGCGAACGTCGATAGATAGGCCGTGAGGCGATTGTTGGTCAGCCACTGCGTCACTTGGGCGGGCGTCGATTCCGGCATAATGTTCTGATTCTGCTATCATGATGGAGGGGGATATGATAAGTTAGGGATTGGCGAGCTACTGTGCAGAAATAGTACGTACAAAGTCATCCATGTCCGCGGGCACATGCTGCGGCGAGACCATGTTCGTGGCGTCCATCAGCTTGAGGTTGGGCGAGTTGGTTGACGTCACCGAGTTGATGGCAATGGGGCTGCTGCTGCTGGTCGCCGGCGATGCTGCACTGGACGCGAACGGAAGCATCCCATCGTACTTGGGTATGTGCACGGGCGAATTAGGCCAAAGTTTCATACTGTGGAAGAGTGAGGGAAGCGCTGTGATTATTTGGGGCCCACTGTACACAGCACTGCAGCCGAATCCTACAAGTTCTGGGTAATCCCGGGCTCGGGCTAGGGCTCTGTATCTTGCAGTGACAGGAGCGACGATCCTTAAGAGGCCAGTGCATGTTCACGAATGCAGCCAGGCCTGGCCAGACCAGACCAGGCCTGGGCTCTGCTCTCGGTCTCCAATTCAGGGAATGCGGCAGGGAATCAGGTTTTCTCTTCAACGAAACGGCTCGATTTCTCTTACAAAACGATACACCCCTACCCGGAACCCGATAGCCCCTGATACTCGATACGATCCCTGATTAAATAAGAAAACTTGTTTGGACGTGTATGTAAATCATGCATGGATAAACCGCTTATACCCGTAATTCATACTGCCGCCATTCATGGGGAAATTTCCTAGACTTTCAAGTTCTTTTCCCTCCCTCCCCACTGCCAAATTCCCTTGCCCCCCCACTCTGCCTGATCGAATCTACAGAGATGGATTATGGACACTACAATCGGAATGCTCATGTATTCTGGAACGCCAGCAATGTACCGCCCCGGGGGTCTGCGGAGTGACTAGCAAGTGGAAAATACAATCGATTTGAGACCTACAGGTCTCCCTGTCTCATTCGCCAATATGATCTGTGGTGCCTGTAGTGCCGTAGTGTGGCCTGCGAAACAAACAAAATCATTCAGCCAAAAAGAAACAAAGCCGAAAACCGGTTAAAAGCAACTTTAAACTATAAATAACTTGGAGCAGGGGCGGCCCCAACGGCAGAAACCACACGAAACGCTCTTCGGGCGTTCTCTTAGCGGGCAGCACCTTGCCAATGATCCTTCAACTCGGCTCTCTTTAGCAGCACCTCTCATCTCTCTACCGCTCTCTCCATATCTCTCATCTAAGTGGTATATGTACATATATCTATGTATGTACATATTTACGCTCTCAATTCGATTGATCGCTGGGATTTATGTGACAAAACGAATTTTCTCTCTCTTATTCGGTGCGGGAAAATTCCATTCCACAGTGCGTGTCACAGCTATAAGTCTACAGAATAAATAAAACTAAACGAAAGCTCATTGTATTCTGTTCTATTCTATTTAATTCTATTCTATCAGATTTAACAGCGAAATCGTTCAACAACGTATAGTAAGCATTTGTAAATTCGCATCTATATAGATTTGAAGAAACATTAAATAACCCTAAACACTGAACTCATTGATTGATTGAATATATAACCACAACATTTGGGTCTATATATAATACGGAATATTAGAGCCGATTAAGATTGATGTTTCAGAGCTTCAGCTAGGAGACATCGAGTGGGTGGCCAAGCCGCCTTAACGTTCTTAAACGCACTGTAGTAGAATAGATAAGAATCGAGGGTCTACACGTGCATGTAAGACGGAATATGCGCATGATGATCATAGTAACTGGATGTTATGCAAATAGTTGAACCTAGACTGCAGTGCAGTGCAGTGCAGTGCAGGAGATCATAAATTAAAACCCCAGCCCTGGCTGTCACATAAACAACACTCTCGAGACAATTTGCACGGTCAATTGAAAGATTGCGTCAACTGCGAGCGACTACGTCAATTTGAACAGTCGGGGGATGGGATGGGATGCGATGAAATGGACACTCACTACTCGGGGCTGTAGCAGCCCGTGGTGGTAGCGGGCATCACCAGGTCCAGCGATATGTCGTTCATGATGGTGCACTCGTAGCTGGGCTGGAACTTGTCCTGCTCCGACTGTGGACGCTTCTGGATCTTCTCGCGGTCCTGCTTGTGTTTGCGATCGGCGCCCTTCAGCTTGAAGACCTGTGGGAAAGGGGTGAAGGAATGAATGAATACTGTCTCTATATCTCTCCCCATCTATCCGCACTCCCTCACTCACCTTGATCTGGCAGGCAGCTGCATGGACGGCCTGCTTGACGCTGGCGATGGATAGCCCTCCGCTGCAGTTGCTGTTGCTGCTCCCATTGGGGGTGCGCTCTGGGGAGGCTGGGGCAGTCGAGCCGCTATTGTTGTTCGAGCTCGGATTCGTGTTGTTGTTGTTTTCTATATAGGTTTCGATCTGGAGTCGAAATGGTACACCTTTCTCCCCGCCGTGCTTCTTTGGGGTAAATTCGGTTGAAATGCAGTTGACCTTGACGTAGACGCCGACCTCCTTGAGGGGATCCCAGAAGATCTCGACGGTGTTGAGCGAATGGGAGCTCAGGGGCTGCGAGACGTGGCACAGGCCGTACGAGAGCGGCACATCCACCTCAATGATGCGTTCGCCGGGGCGGGATTGCTGCCATTGCTGCATCTGCTCGCGCTCCATGAACTGGAGGCGGCGCTCGTGGAAGCAGATCTTGATCACGCTCTGCAACAGAATTTGCAACAGATGAAGTCAGACTTTATTGCCATAGGATAGATGTGTAGCTATGCCAAACGTAGATACTCTTGTACGAGTATCTCCCCCTGGTCGTACGCATGCACGGTCCTCGTGAATCCATCTCTCAAATTCTTCGTCTTAATTGGGTTTTATTAAAAGCAATTGACGCCAGACAGCCAGAAGTCAAATCGTTCACTGAATCACATGTCTCTGCCTCAATTGGAGGAGGCATCGGCATCGGCATCGGCATTGGTTCAGCCGCAGCTGGGGCACAGCCTTGGACTCACCTTCAGAATCTTATCCCTGTAGAGGGACAGGTCCCCGATCTTCTTCAACTTGATCTCGTAGCTCTGGCCCTGGTTCAGATACGTCAGGGTCTCCTCATTGTTCTTGGTTGCAATCGAGGTGGCGGCAGCCAAAATGTACTGAAACCTTAATGGGAGAATCATCAGAGTAATCGGACCAGCTCCTCCATCCGCCTGCTACTTACTTGTGATCCTCGGCGTGTGTCGCTCCGTTGGCGGACACAATCTCTATTTTGGATGGATCGAGCACGCTTAACTGCTGCTGGGGATTGATCTTGCCCTTGTCAGAGTGTCCGCCCAGCTCATACTCGCTGGCAGCCACTGGCGAACCCTGGGGCGAGCCACAGCCACAGAGGAGCCCGGAGCTCAGGTCGTGCTTGCCATTGCCAGGGGACGTCTCCTGGCCACAGGCCACCGCCAGCTGGGGGGAGTTCTGCGCCTCGTCCACCTTGGCAATCGCCACGGTGGCAGAGACACTGCCTCCGGCATTGCTGCTGTCCAGCGAGAGCTTCGGATTCGGCTTGATCTGCTCCGTCTGGGGCTCCTGCTTCAGGGTGGTCAGCGTGGGGGAGAACGACAGAAAGTTTTCACTGCTTGTAGAGGAAAAAATTAGCTCCGATCTGACATGGCCTCGCGATCCCAGGGAATATCTTACTTGTTCAAATACGAGTTGCTGTTGAACTCGGCGTTCAGATCAAAGCCAATGTCATCGCTCCAGCTGCTGCGGCCTAACAAATTACAGAGTATATAAAAAGATAATTCAGTCCAATTGACATCTCGATACAATCCTAAGAATACGCACTCAAAAAGCGCTAGTCCGCTAGAAACATTCATCAAACATTTTAAATGTCCCAAAAATGATCAGACAATAAATAAAATGCTTCGCTAATTGATTTAATCTATCTGCAGATACCGAACTGAACGCTATATACGGATCGGACAATACACTCAAACGAGTGGCAGCTCAATTCCAGAGCCTATCCACAACCGAATGACGCACAAACAAATTTGTGCTGTTTTTCGTTTCGCATGCGAGATAGTGTCACAGCTAATTGTTGCTTGATTAAGAGTATCAAAAGTATCTGGAAAGTCGAATAGATAGAATTGATACTAGTCCCGGCTATCGTTGATTGCCGCCCGGTGATATGCCACGACAAATGGCAAAGGGAAATGGCTGCCAATCAGTCCACGCTGCCGCCTTCGATTATATAATTTCTGGGGAAAAAGGCTAGACAAAAGCAGGAGTCATTAAGAATGACTGAATGATCTCTGATTCAATATACTCGCGCTCGTATAGTACACACTATCGCTTCCTCTCTCTCTCTCTCGGTGTAAATTCTTCCAATCTACTACTAGTGGCTGCCCAACAGTTGTTTGGTCTAAAGAAAAAAGGCGAACATTTGGGTCTTATCTGCGGCAAGTGTCGCTTGATAAGCCATCGAGGGGGGAAACGCGGCAGAGCTTTAGATTCGAGTCAAAATTATATGGCCGGGTCCCCACACACACACTCACACACACACACGGCATACTCTAGTATAGAAGTATGTGTATCTGTGTGGTGCCAGTGTCATGCCTCAGTCACCCGCTACGGAATAATTAGTCCAGCGGCTAGTGGTGGGGACCTTGCGTGATTTTCAAACAATCTCTCTGACAGATCTCTTCAAAGCTAACGGCGGGTTGGGAGTTGCACTCTCTTTCGCTCTCTCTCTCTCTCTTACTGTTTCTGTACGAGTTGGGGGCCTGGTTTGGTCTTCGGAAAAGTACCAAAACTTACTGGAAATGTTCTATTATTAAAGTGCGCTATTGATTAACAGCAGATGGAGACCATGGTGGTAGGGAGGTGCTAAGTTAATCCCAGTCGCTGCTCTGCTGTTAATTTCATTAAGAGAACCAACTCCTATAGCGGCGATGCTAATGAATTTACGAAACTATTTAATGCCAGACTTCGAGGGTGCAACTCCATTTCTGGCACTCCAATCTCGGGCTAACCATTTCAAACATTTCAGGTTAAACCCTTCGATAGAGTCCGATTTAATTGCGAACTCACGAAGTCATCTTTCGGATAACTCTCCACATTCATATCTACGCATACGCATACACATAAATTTACCCACTCATATCCACATCTGATGGATAGATAGATACTGACTAATTAGCAGTGATATTTCTCTGCTTGTTCAGCACTTAGCACGTCCAGAGATAGGGACAAAAGCAGAAGAAACAGAGACACATGCACTCACGTTTTGTCTTATGGAATGATAAACTTAATTATAGGATGGCTCTATCTATCGGTGTATCTATCTATCTATCTATCTATCTATCTATCTATCCGTCCATCTGTCTGATAGACAATCGAAAATCAAGGGACGCAAACGGGTTTCTTAATTATTCCCAATTTACTACCATACACGAGTCTACACGAGTGTACACGGGGTATACGCGAGGGAGAAGATGAGAGGAGAACGAGTTTGTGGCCAGGAAGAGGGTCGGGTCTCGAACAGGTCTCAATATCGGATTAAAGTCCAGACGAAATTTCTTTCATTCTCACTCGCTTTCGTTGATTGTGGGTCACCGAGCAGTCAATAAACTTATTTACTTATGCAAATCAGATAGCAAACGCTTTAAGCGTAGCGATGCGATCAGATAGGATGGCATGGGGGATTGGATTGGATTCCTTACCAGAGTGCTTCTCGCGCTTGTGCTTGTCCTTTTCTTGGGGGGCCACTTTGGGGGCCAGCTCGCCGCTCTGGGATGCTGTGGGGGAATTCTCGGTCTGGCCAATGTCCAGTGAGTCCCAATCCATTCGTCTTTTTCGGGAGCCGCTGTTTAGGTAGATGGTCTGAACGTCGATTATCTGCGGTCCCGGCGAATCCTTCGACTGGGCGTCTACGATAACCGTAAGTTCTTCGATTAGCGATATCTCTAAATGCAGCACAGGTTATGCCACAGAGTTGATGGTGATGGTGATGCAATGATGATGGAGATGGTTAGAGCTGGCTGACTGATGATGGACTGATCGACTAATCGACTGACTGATGGATCGGGGTGCTGTGACCTTACCTGTCCACGATTCCTCAGAGTTTGGCGGCGAGTCAACGAAGTTGATCACTTGCTCATAATCCGTTCCAATATGCTGATGGTGGTAGCCGCTAATAAAGTGGCGGTTCTCGATCTGGAAAACCAAGCAGAAGCAGAAAGTGACTTTCAGTGGTCTAAGCCTGAACTCGTAGCTCGAAAACTGTTTTTCGGTTCGTAGTCGTACTATAGGAACACGATTTCGAATCAGAAACAGAAACAAAGCCCGTCTAGCCGCCAACGAGGCTATGCCCTCACAACATTATCTCTAGAGTCCAGCTCAAGTACTATACTATGTGTGTATATTAATATTTTTTTGTACATATGTATGTATGTAGGTCCGAAACCTTGCTGATAAGGTCGCGTATAATCTCTCTCCTCTCTCAAGTGAGAGTAGGGGAAAACAAAAATCGGTTTTTGTTGCTTCCATTTAATTATGTTCCACAAAGATAAGATCAACATGCCCGACATTTGAGTAAATATCCCCGGATCGAAGATCTGAAGAGGTAACAATCAAGATATCCCACCAAAAGGAAAAGGGAGGAAAAACAAATATGTATATAAAAGAGTAAGTAGCTCTGGCTGTTTACGTAACATTGCAACTATTTATTAGGCGCTGGTTTCCCCATAATTCTGTCTATCTCCCTGCCCCCCATCAGGCTACCACAACGCTGTTATATGATACTTTGTCTGCTGTGCGAGTATAGTATAGCAATTAGCAATTGAACTACATATGTATAAATATGTGCCTATGTAGATTTATATTCAAGGCGGTCTGAATTCTGAGGGAATTAGTTGTAGATGGGAGTCATTCTATTCCATTTGTAGACGCGAGCACTTGCTCAGGTAAAAACAATTGTACAAATATACCTACACACCACACTAGATTTGTATTGGGTTAGTTTATAGAGTTACGGGAACAACTATGGACATGTGTTACTATCTGTACGAGCTTTTCCCTGGGGAAAGCGTTTTAGTTCTGCTTCCAAGCGAACGTTCTATAGATTTCTGATTAGTTTCAAAGACTATAAAACTATCAACCCATTACCAATTTCTTAATCTAATGAGATGCTCCCCAAGGGCTGCCTACGGCTTGGGATTGGGTCAACTCTTAACCTAGCGGCGGGAAGCTGATCACGGGGATCACTGATCACTGATCACTTACCTGATTTAAATTCTCGCTTGCACTGTGGTTGACGTTGCTATTAATGCTGCTGCTGTTGTTGTTGTTATTATTCTGATATTGGCTGCGATTCAAATTGTTGTTGAATTCCATTTGATCGAATTCGTTGAAGATGCTCAAATCGAATTTCGTGGAATTCGTGCGTTGTGGTAGTTGAAGTTGTAGTTCCTCGTTTGGCTGGTGTTGTTGGTTGATTGGATGGTGGTGATGGTTGTTGTTGTTGTTGTTGTTGTTGTTTAAATGTTCTTGTTGCAGTTCTGAATATTGCGGATCGAATATGCTTTGTAAATCCAACAGACCGGAGTTTTGCGATAGAAACGAAAGCGCCATTCGGTAGATGGGCGTCGGATCTGCGTTCTTTTCTTGTTCCTTCTCTATGATGTGATGTCCTCGACCGAAAAAACACACACGCACTCGAAAGTCAATAACGGGGAGGGAGGGGGGTACACACTATTATATCTATAAGCACGTTCGTTCCACCGATATCGCTAGCGGTGGTATCCTTGATGGGCGCCAGCAATTTTTCACAAGTATTGTGCAGAGCGAAATGCAACAAAAAGCAATAATAATAGTAATATTCGAAGTAGAAATATAATGTGGGGCTTTGTTATATTGTGATGGCTTATTAAGAATTGGATTTGCTTAGGTTAACATTTTGGATCTGTTCAAAATGGTCTTTATGACACTACACCGTTATGCGCACAGCACTCAGGATTTTGGATTTTGTATTTTGGATTGCGGGTTGCGGATTTTGGATTCCGTTTAATAACAATTTTGCACTTCGCGTGAGTTCGACTAACAACCAAATAATATCGATATAGTTAATATTTATTCACTATTTTAATTATTTATAAACGTATCTGCTTCCTTTTTTTTTTGTTTGTTTTGATTTTGATTTTTTTTGTAACTTTTTCTAAGGTTTTTTTTCACAATTTGTGTGGAATTGGAATAGTTGCGTTGTGCGTGTGTTCTTTGGGGCCTTGGGAGGGGTGGGGGACCGGGCCAAGTTAAAACAATACGAAAAACGAATTGTACAGTTTCTTAATTCCGGTGGTCTCACGCTGACGATGGCTTCGGAGTAGGGTATTTTCGATTTTTAACAGCATTTTGTTCCTCAGATACATATAGCTCGATTGCGATTGATATACATTTGACATGCGCTGCAGTCGTATTTCAGATTTCTCCATTTATTGCTGCTAAATCTGCGGATGGCGTTGTACAGTTGATGTGATATGTGGTACAGGTCTCACTGTCACGCGAGGACTTGTGGGATCGCTGGGGCTTGGCTTGCAGTCGCTGCTTGCTGGCTGGATCGTTTCGCTCACTGTCAGATGGCTGACATTATACAGCAGTTGTTTACTCGCGAATTGCTTTTTCTTCACTGATAACAGAGTGCACTCCCTGTGGAAAATACTCGCTCTGGCTTTGTTCGTACCGATCTGCTCGTTTTTTTTTTTCGTCTCAAATTTCCTAGCGTTTACACTCGGACTCGACTCGACTCAACTCGATTCAGAAAATTTTATGAGTGTGGGGGAGAATATCTGTGCTTTTGTCACTGTGAAATATGCGACATTCTAATTAACGCTGACTTTGGGGTACGGAATATGGCTTCTTCCACGAAAAAAATGTTATTTCGGTATTTGCTTTTGGAGACACTCGGACACTGTCAGATGGCGATGGCTGACATTCTTCAGCAGTTATGTTATGGTTCTCGGAATGCGTTTCTTAAACTCAAATTAGAATTGATAGCAGAGTGCGCTTCTTGGCTGATGACAACTTGATAACTGGATCGGCTGGGGGTTTTGGCTGCGGAGCAACGTTGGACACAACTATTCAGGGCGCGTTTCGAACGTATTCTGTTCAACGCTGGCTGTGCGTCAGGGCTGCGAAGTGAAGTGGCTCGAGTGAGTTTGCTACGAGCTTAGTCGCTCGGGGCTTCGTGGTACGGGCTCTGGACTCAGGCACGGTACGGGGTATGGTGTGGTCTGCTATGGTACGGCTGTTATCGCCGCGCGCGTGTGTTGGTGTTGGTGTTGGTGTGTCGAGCGAGGGGTGTTATATATTAGCTCTTAGTCGGATTTTATTGGAGCCTAATTTTTGTGGCTTTTTGGCGATGCTTGGTGGCTGGTGGTTGGTGGCGAACAGGTTATCGATGCGATCGAAACGTTAATTATTCACAAATGTTCGGGTTTCATTAGGCGAATTAACAGCGCGAAAAAGAGTTTGTTTGTTCGGCTCGATTCGATTCGATTCAATTCGGTGTTTCTCGACTCTTGATTTGCACTATTTACGACGGTTGGATTTTCTATATTTTTCGGTGGCTACTGCGATAAGGCTAGCGGCTGCGATTGCGGTTCAATGATAATTTGTTTGCCAATTCGATGGTTCGCGGGACTCGTCACTTTTTTGCGGACGGTTCTTTAGAAGGAGTATGGGACCCTGGGCGTTCCCTATAGGAGCACTTTTAGTCCGACGAAGCGAGGCTTCGAAAAGCCCAAAGAGACGGGCATTTTGTGCGGAGAACCTTGGTCGAGCGGCAGCCAACACGGACACGAGGTTAAAATATCAATGAGTTGTGAGAATTTCTGCCGTTAGCGGGAAACTACAGACACAGTTTCGGAATCAGCAAGCCCCAATCAAGCCGAGCGGCCCGACGGCACAGACACTCATACAAACCCCGAGAGCAGAGGCAGAAACGGCACCGATGCTCGCGACCAGCGAAGACGGAGCGGAGCTGGAGCTGGGGTCGACGACGACGAGTGCTACTTGCGATTACGGAGGCGGAACGGGAACAACTACAGACACAGACGCACTTTCGGAATCATCCAGCCACCAGTTGTCCAGAGATCTCAGCAAATGGATGTGGATGCTGTCGTTGTCACTGCTGCTGCTGCTGCTGCTGCTGCTATCACTCTAATTGATTGTGGCAACAACAAAGCCGTACACACACACAAACAATCAATTGAAAGGGCTGTGCTGTGCTGTGCTCCGTGTGTGGGAGGGAGAGATACACTTGTTGCTGTTACTTCTGCTTCTTTCTTTCTGCTTCTCTTCAGCTGTTTTGCACGTTTTGTATCGCTGCCTCTTACTGCTGCGTCTCCCTGTGAATGCCAACGACGACGACGACGGCGACGATGGAGATACAATAACAAGTCAATTAATGCGAATGGACAGCACTATATAAAAATTTTTCCTCGATTTATGTTGATTGGGCGTTGTTGTATCTGCAATTGGACTCAATTCAGGCTCGTTTCTGCAAATGTGTGTGCGCTGGGACTTTCGATTTAATTTTCGGCTGCTTTTTCGCTGCGCGCGTCGATGACGTATTTCGCGAATACACGAACACGCACAAGTTGAGAAAACTTGGACGTTGGTCGGATCCCGGGGGGAGGTGGTGTGGGTGGCGCTGACCGCTTATTGAGCTTTTCCGCCGTCGATAGACTAGAAGCATCAACGTTTAAATATTATGGTTTGACTGGATGGATGGTTTGACTCTGGCCAAGATTGGTTATTACACTCCGTACAAAATGAAAAACGTGTGTCGCCGATGGAAGCTAAAATCTCTTTGGTGGTACTGATTTGGAGAGCGTGCTTCAAACGCTAATATTAACACTAGCCACCGCGGCCCTCTCCGGCTCTCTCCCGCTCTCTCGGGCTCCACTCATTTGTGGGGGCCGTTCCAAAGAGCACGGCCAGCGGCGCTCTTTATGTCTGGCTAAAGCCCCTATCTTTCCATGTGTGTATGTGTGTACATATGTGCGTGATAGTGCCAGTTTGGAATGCAACAAAAACACGCACTTTTTCCACGAACTATAACTACCATCGAGTTACTGTTACTTCCAAACATTGTATTTGCTATTTGGGGCTGATAACAACAAAGAACTTTGATTATCAACAAGAACAGCTGTTGGCCTTAGTCGCAGTCCTAAGAGAAAGAGAGTGAGTGAGAGAGAGCCAGAGAGAGAGAGAGGGAGAGAGTGCACCTGCTTGTGTGTGGGCGCTGGGCTCTCTTCAGAGTGGGTCAACCACGATCTTCAGGGTGAACCATAATATACGATCTCCAACGATAAATAAAAGTTTGTTTCCAGCTTTTCATTCATGATAATTCTATTCAGCCATATCCATATGAACTAATGTTCATAATTTAGGCGTTAATTAATCAAAGGAAATGCTAATCTGTCGCCGAATTTCTAAATTGAGTTCCTAACGTATTTTCGCTTGCCATCAATCTTTATTTCGTCTTACATCTCTCTTTAATTGTGGAAGGCGAATTAAATAATTCTCAATTGATTTTAAATTGCCATCAATAACAAGGTTCAAGTGAAATGAATTTATTTTGCACATCCAAAGTCAAAGACGCAATTCGCTTCAATGGAATTACCAGCAAATATCCTATGGCAACAGATCTGGGGAATTTGTTGCACGTTTTCAGCACTCATATTCATTGGTGGAACAGTTTAGGAAGCCTATTGTCTTCTTGGTTTTTTGGGCTTCAATTAGCGTCGCCAAATTCGCAGCTGTTAATTTATAAAAGTTAGCAACATTTGGCACAAAAATACGTTTTATGGCCATTGATCAATTCCCTGCACAGTAAAAGGTTTATAAGGCGTAATAAGAAATGAATGAAGCTATGAGACTGCAAATTAGCACGGAAATTAGACAAAGTTGATAAAAAGAGCGGTCTAATTCCAGACAATCAAATTAACATCTCTGCGACTTGATTTGAATTTTAAACGTGGCGCTCAGCGGGCTAGAGCAGCCTGAGCCATGAAACGGTCATACTGGCCACTACTCCGTTTTACAGCACTTATAGGAAATGCCATCTTTTCGAGCCGACGGTATATTTAGGGTATAAAATTGTATATTTTTTCAATTTAATCGATCTATTTTTTTATTTTCAACGGTATATAGAAATCCAATAAAAGCAAGTATTTAGAATAGACCAGTTAAGTACAAAATTGATTCATTAATCGTATAAAATTATGTGGGCATAGATAAAGGCCCGGTTGACAACATTTAAATCCTTGTCGCTCACATTCAATTTTGGCGCGCACCACTCGGTATATTTTTCAAATGAGACCGTATATTTTGGTATTTATTTGAATCGGGTAGAATCTGTAATAACCGGTTCACAGCAACATTTACTTCAAACCCGTATTGTAGTCAAAATAAAATACTTACAAGCAATTTAAAGATGTTAGAAAATAGAAAATGTATTCATCTATGGGATAAAACTTAGTGGGCAAAGCTGAAAACTCTATATAGCTTGAAATATCCGGATTTGGCAATACCCGGTTCGCAACAGATGAGTCCCATTCCATACACAAACATGTTGCTTATTCCATGCACACATACCCTGGGGGAAATGGATGATATAGAATTGTGAATACGTTTGTCTTCCAAGGCTCAGTAGGTATCAGGATCGAGATAAATATATACAAGATACTAGTAATGTACTTGAATATGCCTAAAGAATATCAATTTGAGAAAATTTCTTTATAAATCACGTTTCATCTTCATATAAAATTAACGAAATAGGGTGTACAAAGACCTATACACGCATCATGTCTTTAAATACCAGCAACATTGCGACTGATTTTTTGTTGAACTATTTTGTTTAAACCTTGTTTTAGTCAAAATACAATAAAAGCAAGTAATAAAAATAAGCCAGTTAAGTAGAAAATTGATTCATCAATGGGCTAAAATTATGTGGGCACGGCTAAATGTTCTATATAGCTGGTAATATTCGACGGAATATCAAAAACGAGGAATATGTAAAAAGAACTTGAATTCGTCAGTATATTTACGGTATATTTTTAAAGTGAGACGGTATATTTTGGTATATTTCTGAGGACCAGACTGTTTACAACACTAAACGACTCGTCATTGGCGCAAAGAAAAAAACTCCCTTTTATTCTAGTTTTTAACAATTGAAAGCTGTTAAAATGGCTTCAGTAGATGCGGACACGGTTCTGTACAGCATTTTGGCTTTAGTTATTATTGAGAACGCTGTGGAGATTTACATATCGCTGCGCCAAGTGAGTATTTTCGCAGGCTGCAATGTGCCGGCACGTGCGAGCGAGACCGAGAGAGTCGGCAATTTGTTTTATCAGCGACGAATGATAAATTTAGAGACTGTTCGTGTTTTTTGGCATTTAATTGTTTCCCTTCTCATCTCTTACCCCGCTGTAACCAGGTGAAAGTATATCGAAATGCACTGAAAGTGCCAGTGGAGCTGACGTCACACATGACGGAGGAGACATTCCACAAGGCGCGCAAATATGGTCTGGACCAGGAGAACTTTGGCATCTTCAAGGCGGTGCTGATGGACGTCGCTTTACTTTGCCTGGAGCTGCACATCGGGCTGATTGCCGTTATCTGGAAAATATCGGTGAATGTACTCAACCATCTTGAATGGGACGCCAGCAATGAGATTCTGGTCAGCTGCGTCTTTGTGGTGATCTCCAACGTGATTAGCACATTTAAGTCGCTGCCTTTCAAAATCTACAAAATCTTTGTGCTGGAGGAGACGCATGGTTTCAACAAGCAAACGGCTGGGTTCTTTGCCTGGGACCAGGTGAAGGGATTCCTGGTCACACAAGTACTCATGGTTCCCATCACGGCGGCATTGATATTCATAGTGCAACGCGGCGGAGACAACTTCTTCATTTGGCTGTGGCTGTTCACTGGAATGGTATCACTGGTCCTGCTCACCCTCTATCCGATCTTCATTGCTCCGCTGTTTGACACGTATACGCCGCTGGAGAAGGGCCCCCTACGACAGTCGATTGAAGATCTGGCCGCCTCTCTGAAATTCCCCCTCACAAAGCTCTTCGTTGTGGATGGCTCGAAGCGCTCGTCTCACAGCAATGCCTACTTCTACGGATTGTGGAACTCAAAGAGAATCGTGCTCTTCGACACTCTTCTGCTGAACAAGGGCAAGCCAGATGCCTCGGAGCTTTCCGATGATGAGAAGGGCAAGGGCTGCACCAACGAGGAGGTATTGGCCGTTTTGGGGCACGAACTGGGTCACTGGAAGCTGGGCCACGTCACCAAGAACATTGTTATCATGCAGGTTCATCTGTTCCTAATGTTCCTTGTCTTTGGCTACCTCTTCAAATATGCTCCCTTCTATGTGGCAATGGGATTCGAGCCCGGCACTCGTCCCATTCTGGTCGGCTTGCTGGTTGTGTTCACCTATGTGCTGGCGCCGTACAATGCAATCATCAACTTCGCCATGACGATCCTTTCGCGTCTATTCGAGTACCAGGCCGATGAGTTTGCCTTCAAGCTGGGATTTGCGGAACAGCTGGGACGGGCACTGATCAAGTTGAACCTGGACAACTTGGGCTTTCCTGTCTACGATTGGCTGTACTCTACCTGGAATCACTCGCATCCCACTCTGCTCCAGCGCCTGAACCGTCTGCAGGAGCTTAAGGAGAGCAAGAAATTAAACTAGAAGACCATGCTGCGCACAGACCAAAGTTTACACTGTATTCCCTATTTTATAACGTAAAATAAAGAATGGGGGAGTAACCCAAAAGAAAATGATCAATATTTTCAAATCAGAACCGACTGTCTGTTTTAGACTTTCAAAATTTTCAAAATGTACCTAATATGCCAAGTTCTTCGAGTAACATGTCTGCATATTTCTGGGACAAACCTGACATAATCCTGTTTATAATGATTGCCGTGTTGGTCGTGGACAATCTCTGGGCTGTCTACCTGTTGATCCGTGAGGTGAGAGCTCCTGAAAGTCCACTTGGTTTGCACTGTTCTGGATGCCTTTTCACAGATAATCGCTGTCCACGAGGTGGAGAAGGTGCCGTCAGTGATTAGTGCGCATCTGCCGCAGGAGCTATTCAACAAAATGCGCACCTACATGATACACAAGAGCTGGTTCAGCATTGTCAACATCCTGCTCATAGTGGTCTTCAGTGGGATTATGGAGCTCTATTTTGGCTTCTATCCGTGGCTCTGGAAGGTGGCGACTAAATGCTCATTGTCAAAGTGGATGCAGCACGAGGCCTGCGTTTCCATATTCTTTGTGCTACTGCTGTCCATCTACATGACTTTGAAGGCATGTCCAGGCATGCTCTATTCGAAGATGTGCCTTTCGGACCTGCACAAGAGGGGGACTCAGTCGTGGACGCGTCGGATTGGCTGCGAGATCCTGGAAACCATTCTGGCCATAATCATCATGAGTTTGATCGTGGTTTCGATTGTGTTCATGGTTCTCTGGCTGGAGGAATACACTGCCGTGGGACTCTACGTGCAATCACTTCTCTTAACCGTGCTCCTCATTCTCCTGGTGCCCTTCCTGATCGATCCTATTTTGGGCAGGCGGGTTCCCTTGGAGAACTTGACCTTGCTCTCAGAGCTGGAGCATCTTACGAATGTTGTGGATTTTCCCATGCACCAGGTGCACATCTTACGCGTTAACGATCCCAATGCCTCCAGCAATGCCTTCTTCTACGGGTGCTGCTGCCTGAAGAGGATTGTGATCTTTGACACTCTATTGCTCAACAGGGGGCGGAAGGATTTGTCATCGCTGGAGCCGGAGGAAGTGGGCAAGGGTCTGCGGGACTCTCAGGTGGCTGCCGTCGTGGCACACGAGCTGGGCCATTGGGTCAATGGGCACTTCTACAAAGCGTTTTTCATGTTCCAGCTCCACATGATCCTGATGCTGTGTCTCTTTCACGTGCTCTTCTCCCATGGGCCCATCTACCAGGCTGTGGGCTTTGAGGAGGGTCTGCAGCCCATTATTGTGGGCTTCCTAATTATATTCGGATTTGTGATGACGCCCTACATGACGCTGTCCAACTTCTGCATGCTCTCCGCGACGCGACACTTTGAGTATCAGGCGGACAGCTTTGCCTGGGAGATGGGCTATTCCAAGGATCTGCGCCAGGCCCTGCTGAAGCTGTACGCGGACAATCTGGCGTTTCCCATCACGGATCCCTGCTACTCCAGCTGGAATCACACACATCCGTCGATGTTGGATCGGCTCAATCGATTAGAAAAGCTGCAGCAAAGAAGATCGAGTTGATCTTTTATATTTTGTGACTTTTTCCGAATCACAGTAGGTTCTGATTTATACATATCCATATATACACCCAATGTTGTTGTTTTTTGTTGGGGAAACATGCTCTTGTTAGATGGCTTTCTACGACAACTGGCCAGAGTGGGACTCCAAGGTGGTGCTCGCTTTGCTAATGATCATTGTGGTAGTCGGAAATGTGTGGGAGCTGATGCTGACCAAGAGACAGGTAAGTGAGTGGAGGCTCGACTCCTGCACCGACCCTTTGATGGATTCATTCCGTTTTGCGTTCCTCTTGCCGACAGCAATTGGTGTGCCTGAATTCCGTCATCGTTCCCGATGAGCTTCGCGGGATCATTCCACCGGATATATTCCACAGGGCCCGCATCTACGAACTGCACAAGATGGAGCTCATGAGCTGGAAGATTTTGGTAGACATGTTTCTAAGCCTGGTCGAGCTCTTCTTTGGATTCTATCCGTTCCTCTGGGGTCTAGCTGCAACTACGCTGGCAAAAGCCACCCATAAGGAGATCTGGATAAGCCCGGTATTCGTATTCTATATGACAATCTACAGCTGTGTGCGATACCTGCCCGTGCTGGCCTACGACAAGTGCATCCTGCAGCTGCGCTACGGGGTCCAGGGGCAGTTCTCCTGGTGCCTCTACTGCTGCGTTGCCATTCCAGCCATACTTCTGACGCAGATTTTACTGGCCCCCGTTGCGCTGCTCATTGTGTTTACCGTGCAAGCGGCCGGCTACTGGTTCTTCCTCTACTTCTGGGGCGCCTGGGCAATATTCACGATTTTGCTGGTCTTCTTGTTCCCCTACTGCTGCATCCCCTGCATTGGGAGGCAACGGAGGCTGTCCGAGGGCACGCAGCTGTATACCGATGTGAAGCGCGTCTGCGACGTGGCCGGATTCCCCGTGAAGCGCGTCTTCATCATCCGCACCAAGAGCATGCAGTACAGCAATGCCTACTTCTACGGCAGCTGCTGCTTGAAGCGGATCGTCCTCTTCGACACGCTGCTGCTCAACAAAGGCCTTGATCCCAGTCAGCTGAAGCCCTACGAGGTGGGCAGGGGACTCACAACTCAGCAGGTGACTGGCGTGGTGTGCCACGAGTTGGGCCACTGGAAGTACGGGCACTTCTGCAAGACGACGCTGATCATGAAGCTGCACTTCCTCCTGACCATGCTGCTCTTCGGCGTGCTCTTCCACTGTCCCCAGCTGTACAAGGGTGTGGGCTTCGCAGCAGGAATTACTCCCATCATCGTCGGCTTCATCATCGTCCTGCGCTTCGCTCTGACCCCATATTTGACGCTTGCCAACTTCCTGATGCTGTGGATGATGCGGCACAACGAGTTTGCTGCCGATCGCTATGCCCATCGTCTGGGCTATTCCGCGCAGCTGAGCTCGGCCCTCATCAAGATCTACGCCGATCACATGACCTTCCCGGTCTTCGATGATTGCTATTCCAGGTGGCATCACACGCATCCCACGATCCTCCAGCGACTGGCCTATCAGCGTTTCTTGGACTACAAAGCCGCTACCAAGACTGAGGACTCTGTCAAGCCCTTTGCCAAGATTAGGAAATCAGACTCAGCGTGAAGTAGTCCCTGAAATTTGCTTCGCATTATCTGTTACACTATTTTGAGAATTAACATAAAATTGTCCGTACGACCCGAACACGAACACGAACACAAATGGGCAATGGCTAAATTTGGACCAATTACAAAATTGGCGGTCAACATCGACAAGGGGTGAGTGGAGTCGAATACGAATCGAATCCTAATGGCCTTCTCTGTTAATACTTGACAATAAAGAATACATTTTGGAACACTCTTATCCACTATTATCCGATTACTTCCTCTGAAACCGCGCGCTTCTTTTTCCCAGGGAAACACGCATCAGTTATGGAAATGCCTCTACACGTGTGATCTATGCGAATCCCTCGGGGCTTGCCTTCCCTGGGGGAATGATGGATCCTAGTCTAATCAGCGATCCCTATTTGCAAGACAATCGATATCGCCCGGAGTCCTTCCTACAACGACACTTCTCCCTTCTGGCTAAGCGGTTACCCAATTTAATGGGTATTACTGCCTCGGATTCCAGTGAAGTAGAAGACCCAGTTAACAAGGATGTCGTCTGGTATGCCTGGCACTCGGAGGAAGTTGAAAGGGTCGAGCCACAGCGGGTCGAGTTCATAGAATGGAAAGCTCCAGAGACAGGTACTGTAAGGATCTTCAATCGGTTTTGGCATTTGCAGAACTGCTTTGCCAAGAAACGTCTCAGCCATAAATCGGAGTCCCCCAAGTGGTAAGCAACCATCAAAACCCCAACCTTGAGTCCAAAATCTATCCAAGAAACTCTTGTAGCTATTGTCTGAAAATAAAGAAGATCACGGACCACATTAAAGATCTCATTGCCCCGGAACTGCCGGAGTATCAATCAGTTGACGACGCATCGAAGCCTCATGTTTTTGACACCAAAATCAAGGAGGTGAACGACTTGCTCAAGCAACTGCATGATCTCCTGGAGCTCCAGGAGCAATGCAATCGAAACCAGCTACTCCGTACAAGAGGGGACGAAGACACCCAATAAAAATAAATCATTTCATTTGGTGTGCTGACCCGATGATGTCTGCGTAATTGTATTTAATTTGTTAAAACATAGTATCTGTCATACATACATAGTACATCCATATAGATATTCGATATTCGGGTATTTCCCGCTAATGGGTTTCTTTTTGTTGTTCTTGTTGTTGTATCGCATATAGAGAAAGTCGGTCTTCGAAGCTTTACCATGTGTGAACAGTACGAGTATCTTATGTATTAGCGCTAGTACCATATATATAGAGTTGTATCGTAATTAGTTTATTTATATCTTTAAGTTGGCATTTACGGACGCGTACAAGTTCTCCGAATGCAAAGAACGGACTGTTTCTATATTTTCTTCGACCCGATCAGGGCACCATTTGAGTAACTTGCGTAATGTTCGATTGGAAATGTAATCAAATTTTTTGCGACTTAAAGCTTACAATGTAATTAATATACTTTATATATATATATAGATAGGTTTGTTTTGTTTTGGTTTCTTGGAAAAATAGACTTGAAATTGCATAGGATTAGTATCGATTTTGGAAACTCGAAAGGGCTAAATCATAGCTGTGTAATTATATAGTAATAGCACCTTGAAAAAACGTTCTATAAGTAGTTCAGATAGATAGCTTAATGGGTTAACCATTGATTTTCCTATAGATTTCGTTTAGTTTTAGAGTAGTCAAAGCTGTTCCAATTTTATTTAAAAAGATAAATAAGAGACTCCTCGTGTGTGTGCCCTCGGGTGGAAAATCCTTTTGCAGCACTTACACAGACAACAAGGACGACTACCAGATGCGTTCCAACTGTGAGTGATGTTGCAACGCTCAAGGCTCGTGCACGATGGTGTCGTGTCAGGTGGTGTTGGAACAAGCCTACCCTCGGGCGGTTCCAAGTGCCTCTTGATTGATTGATTGATTGATGTTTGTGGTGGAGAACTCTACCATAAAATGAGTGCAGGCTAATTTCGTTTTACATTTACACGGAATACAATCAGATCGAGGCTGGGCAAAATGTACGATTAGCACACCAAAAAGTATAGTGCTGTGTTGCATAAATATATCCACAATCCACAATTATTAACAACAATTATCTACTAGTTCTAGCCACACACATTTATATATTTATATGTAAATACAATCTCAAATAAATCACGACTGATTCTGTTGTGTTCTTAAGTTTAGCTACATTTATTTTAAGTTATCGTTTTGTAATTAAACAAAATAAAATATATATGTGTATATATCTATATATAGGCAAATACATTTAGAAAATATACGTAAATATATAATATAATATAATATAATATAATATAATATAATATAAAATCGATGTACTGTACTGAATTTGGTTTAATTCTTTTGTTTTACTTTAAAATAAGTGGCTCGATTCAGTGTTGCTTGGATAAATTTTCGGCTTGGAGTAAATATATCTTTGGTGTTTCAGTTTTGGGGAGGAAATACATACATATATACTCTCAATAGCTTAACATACGATAAACATTTATTTAAGCTTGAAACATTTATGTTATATATAGTTTTACCAATAGTTTTTGTTTTTTTGTTTGTTTGCTTTTTGTTTCGGGTAGCATCTCCATTTCATTTGCTGTGGAGATCCTCCATCTTTACCAAAATCGTTTATCTTCTGCTAATTTTTCAGCAGGTTTAAAGTAATCAATTGCCTCGTGGCCTTCGGTGCCTAGATTTTGGGGCTTACCAAAATTGGGTGACAAATATGGAATCGGCTAAAAATCCCTTTACTCCTCGTCGTCGGGCGATATTTTGGCCAGTGTCAGGAGGATCATGGTCAGCTCTTTGCGGGAGATCTTGCCGTGCTTGTCATGGCCCACGCCCCGCATGATGGTCTCCTCAAAGGCGGCCAGATCCTGGGCATCGTAGTCGTCCTGTATTGCACAATAGCGAAACGTTGATAAGACCAGCCTCCGATGGCCCTGACTGAAACTTACCTTCTTGACCAGCTCTAAAAGATCCTTGAGGAAGCCCTTGAGCTCCTCATTTTCAATGGTGCCGCTGTTGTCCTGCAAGATTTTTAGTTGATTGACATTTCTGTTGACTTCTTGACAGATTTCAATGTTTACTTACGCGATCGTAGAGCGAGAACACCTTCTCTATATCGTCTTTGGTCAGCTTTGTGGCACCCTGCGATGAGGGAGAGATGGGAGCAAACATTTAATGCGTTTCCTAAGATACCATTGGATATAAACATTTGGAACAGACAGTAGTGGTTTATCCACAGCTATAACAACTAGGTTTAGCATACTTTCCAGATAGATTTTTGTCGAAAATTCACTTCTTTAAAGAATATTCGCAAAGAAAATGGAATGTATGCTAAAACTTTAGCTGTGGAACTTTCTTTACAGTGGGAGTAACATCCAACAGTTAGAGGATTCACCAAAGCACACCTTTCAGATCCCACAAACAAGATGGGTACGCGATAATCATGCAATGATGGAATCGGAGAGGATGTGCTTGATTTTACGACGACATCATATATCGGCTCTATATGATTTGTGTGCGATTTTGTGCGATTTCCGAAATGATTTGTTATATACAAAGCTGTCGAATGCATGCATTTCATGCAACATGTGGGTTTGGGTGGGCTAACAAACTATCTAGCTATTCCCAAATCTTTCTCGGGAAAATATCCCCTAAGGATACCAGCATGTGGCATGTAAGTGGCAGGACAAAAATACATACATATTTCATATTCACAGACATTTGTTATTACATTTGTATTATGCTAATGCTGAAAGCCTTCGTATAATTAAGCTAAATGAAACATTCTGCCAATTGTGTGCTTATGCCTTTGACAGTTCCTAATTAACAAGAATTATTCCAAAGGTGCTGGCCATTTTTCCCGTACATTAGTCTCCGTCGAGGCTGGGCTCCGTTCCGGTTCCCCCCCGCCCCGAGAGCACAAGAATTTATCGATTCCATTTGTGCTCGAATTACTTTTCTTTTCTTTTCACTCATACTCCCACTAGCACTACCACATCCATGCGAGTGTAGTATACCTTTAACACACACTCAGGCACACACAGACATGCAATTTGTTTTTTTTTTTCGGTGGTTATGTAATGAAATGCAGCCCTCGCGGCGCCCAAGCTCAAAGTTAGTGGAGAGGCCAGCTGGGCGCGGTACGGCGCCTCAGGAGCTGCCCCAAAAGTTACGAGGTGGAGCTCAAGGTGTTGTTACTTCTGTTTTCCTTGGGAGCCGCGAAAACGCATTTGGCGCATTCCTTGTGCGGTCTTAAGGGGATTACGAACCCATTAAGAGGCTGTGCCCTTTTCTTGTCACCCCTTTCTTGAGCTGCGCTTAAGCCTTCAGAAATGTGCTCATCCCGGCATTAAAAAAGTTTAGCGCGTTCCATTTGCTCAAATTCATTTTTTCGGCAGCCGTTTTCTTGGAATTGAATGCCACACACGCTGCTGCTGTTGTTGCCCCGCTCTTTTGTCAAATTGCTCATACTTAAGTCGACTTTCGCCCGGAACGTGACGCTCATCCATTGCTAAAATGAAGTAATTATTTTACACTTCAACACTTTGAGACCCGCTGCCAGCGCCAGCGCCAGCGGCTGTGGCTGCCATTATCCATATGGCAGTGCCTCAAAGTTCTTCTTCCTCTCACTGAATGACTAAATTATGCAAAAGGTTATGTTCTCGCTCCCGGTGATGGGAGGTGGTAGCGCGGCAAATGTGTAATTTGCGGACCCCACATTAGGTTAGGTCTAAAGCTGTTCACGTACCATCCCAGCCTCCGAATATGTGTGCCATTGGGTGGACAAATACAAATGCCATCAAAAGTCTAATTAGTAGCCCATAGCTATCATTCTCAGTTGGGCCTCAGTGCACAGAAAAGAGGGAAGAGTACCCTCCTAATGATAATCTGCAGTAAGCTCTTATTAATTGCAAGCTCTCGTACGCTCTCTCTCGCTCTCTGTCCACAAACATAAAGTTCTGGCTAAACGAGGTGGCCTGCTGTGATGTGTACTCGAATGTGTAATCTATAGAAACACATTTCAAAGGCAAAAAGTTATTTTTTGTTGCAGTATTCTCAATTTTCACTGATATCTATCTAGATATGAAAAAAACTAATAAGCGTGGCTCCGCTGCAAATCAGCTGCAGTTTCGTTTCGCAAAAGTGCTTTTGCGGAGAGCTAAGCTTGAGGACTAACGGATCTTCATTGTGTATTAGCTTCTCAGAAAGTTGCATAGACAGAGAGCGTGAGACAGAGAGAGCTTTCCTCCCACCTTTGCTCTCTGGTTTTAGGTCCAGCTGTTGCTTAGCTTTATTTGCACGTGTTTATAAGTGCCTTGGGTATTTTTCTCCCACCGCCAGGCCACAAAACTTCCAAAGCAAAATCACATTCGCATTCACACTCAACCAGAAAATACCAAGTGAAATTATCAAAGGAATAACATTTCATGCTGCGTCCATGCATTCCAAACCCACACGAATCTAAAAAACAATTGTACTTTTTTAATCAAATGCAAAGCAGCTTTGGGCAGTAAAGTTTCTGCTTTTTTTGGCTTGGGAAATATACTAGCTAGATACACAACACAATCAATCTACAAACCAGGAAAACAAAAGAAAATTCAATACAAATATATGCTTTGGCTTTCGCAAAGTAAGTGTTCAACAAAAACTCTTGAACGATACAAACACAAAAAACCAAAATTTTATTGACGGTTTTTATGGCGTCTCTCTCTGCGTGTAAATACATATATCTCTGGCCAGAATCTATCATATGTATAATAGAACGCCATCCAGTGGGGGATTTTTCACCTTTTGGGGCTTTTTTTTTAATTCGGTGTTTGCATGGGAAATAAATACTTACATCAATGCCCTCCTTCAGAGTGTGGTTTTATATTCATATACAGTTTTTGGTTATTTATTTCAATTGCAGGAATATTCGAGTGTATGGTTACAGTAGGGAAGATTTGGTTTTTGATTGTTTATTTTTGCAGTTGCAGTGCAGTTTATTGGAGATATTATATTGGTGTGGATATACACAGCATATGGTTGGTAGAGTTGGTTTTCGAATTGCATTTGGTTATTGGAGCAACGTGAGAGAAATATGTAGTTGGCAGCCCCGAC